CTAATAAGAGTGTTTCCCAGAAGCTTGCTCAATGTCTGCGCAGAACCTGTGTGTACCCTGTCAAAGGAAAAGAAACTGCAGTGTAAGCTCTTGGCAGGAGATAAGGCACACTACCTTATTGTCCAGAATACAACACTTTGTGCACGGTTTTTCAGAAGTACCAATGAGTTAGCAGAACTGCCCCTTTGAAGTATTTTTCGATGCATTACTGACATCCAATACTTAAAACTGCATGGGGAAAAATTAAAAGTAATTTTATTATTTTTCTCTTAATCTGTTGCATGGAAGAAGACCTGAAACTAGAGAGTGAGACCATGAACTCATTAGGAAACTGTTTAATGAGCTAATACATCAAGTGAGAAGTAGAGTAATTTCTCCATTTAAGTGCATGGTATCTGTGTTTTATAGCATCCAGTGGAGCTGCTCCTGCTGTGTGTAACAACTTAATGTCAACTTAAAGGCCTGATTAGAAGCCTTTTCTGAGCTTTCAACTGCATCTCACTCTCTTCATCAGTGAATAGAACTTCTTAAGACAACAAACTCAAGGACCACCAGAAGAATCCTACTCTTAAGAAGTTTTTGTTAAACTACTAATTCCAAGGTCAACAATGAACCTACAAGCTCAGCATGGTTGTTTTAATGGTTATTTTCCTCATAAGGAAGAGAAGCACAATATAAAGGCTCTAAGTAGAACCCAGAACAGCTTTACTATAAATATCACCAAGAAATAGAAGTAGCACCCCCACACATACACAGACACACGTCTAGTTTCTATTTTAGCACATCTCAGACTAGACAAGGCAATTAATCTCCTGTCCGGACACCTTCACATCTTTAGGCAATATTTGTTTTCGAGGACTGTTTTAGGTCACTCTCCATCATATAAAATTAGACTGACACATAGAGATAGTTTTTTTTTTTTTTTTTTTTTTTAAAAATTTTTTTTTTTTTTAAAAATTTTTTTAAACAAACACCATTTACCCAGGAATATTTTGTTTAACAATATGACCAGCAATGTAATCTAGAAGGGTTAAAGACATTTTTCATTTCATCTAAGCTAGGGCTGTGAGTCTGGCAATACACAATACAGGGGCTACGATGCAGTATATTGTGATATATTGCGATATTGTTTGCAAGGTGATATATCAGGATTTCTTTTTATCAAATTTTAGGAAAACTGCCTAAAATCTGAACAAATCAACATCACAGTTAGGGGTTCAATCACAAAAAACGCTAGTTTTTGAGAATTAATATATATATATATGATATGATATTACATATGAAAGTATTTTCCTCCACACCTAATCTCAACTGTAACTCTAACTGCTATATTTTTGTGAGCTTACAACCACAGCTCACAGTCTTTATTGTCAAATGGAGCTGACTCAGGTGTTGTCATTCCACATGAAGTGTGGGCGGTAATAGTGAGAGTACATTTCTGGAGCATGAAGTTAATTAGGGCAGAATGTGTCTCAGGGAGGAGCAGTGGAGAGCAGATGCAAGCCCAAAGACCTCAAGAGATGACTGTCACAGGCCAGAGGGTTCAACTGCCATACTGGCTCTCATTTCAGCTGGGATTACACACTCACACTCAGTGCACTCACCACTCAGGACAGAGTGCCAGGGGCCATGGAGTAAAAATAACTCTGTTTTTGCATCTGTGAACATGTGTTGGGGCGGTATTTTCAGCTGATTATTTTGGGGGCTTTTGTGTGCATTCTTTGAATAACTTATAAGAGGATTTACCCTCCTCAAGTTGGGCTCTTGATGCTGTAATACCGAGTAAACACAGGCTGTAATCCTCTGCTGTACAGGGGAATGTTTCATCAGGCACCACCTCAGAAACATCAGCCAGTCATTTCATCAAAAATACAAATCAGAAAAACAGGCAGGTTTTATCGCTGAGGCTAGACATGGCAATTACGTCATTATCCAGTTTTTGGCAGGGACCACAGTTGTTTTAACGCTCAGAGGTGATCCCAGTATGTAGTATGTAACAAGACTCTCCTTCCAACACAGATTTCCCTGAGCTAAGACATAATCCTTGTTATCACACTTGTTCTGTCAATATGAGCCACCAGCTGCTAAATGTTCAACTGTGACTGAGTTTGTCAGACATACACAGTTTAATATATAACTCGTAATGGGACAAAAGCTTCATAAGCTGCTCACAGTAAACAGATATGAGTCACATAAATACAAAACACTGGGCAGTACACACATTCAGCCATTGAACTCGATATGAGAGATATGCTCATTTGGACATTGATATACTAGCTTATATAATGTATCTCAAACAAATGTTAGACTTGTGGCCACTATACATTTTTGAAATGAAAAGGCTGAAGTGGCCCAATCTTCTCTTTTTTTCCCTTTTGTGGTGATTGCCTTAATTGAAACACAATTAAATGATCATACAGAGAAACAGAGAAGATAGAACAGTGTCTACATGATGAACTAGAATTGCTTTAAGACTCACAGCAGCTACCTGTATAGGCATTGAGCACCAGAGGGCTCACAATGCTCTCCACAGCAATCCACGCGCCACCTCCTCACTGCTGTGTCTGTTTGAGAACTGTCCGTAACCACTCGTGAACATAATTGTGGTAGATGCACTGTAGTTAATGTGGTGGAGAAATAAACAGCTAGCAGACTGTCTAGCCACTCAGAATGTTGATATAAAATGGAAGTATAGTATACCTGCAGATTCCTTTGGTTCAGTTTAAAGCAACATAATGTAACATTTCCATCTTAAAATAACAGCCTTATCATTTTGATGGTACACTGAGTTGTAACAGGGTGAATGGTGCCTCTATCATTCCCACTCTCTGCTCTGTACTTCTGTTCTTACACTATGTAACTCTGGCTGCCAGTTTGCAAGAAGTGTCTAAACTTCACAGTAGTAAATCACAGACCAACAACTGTGTCACATATTTTATGGGGAAAAAGATTCTGGTTTGCCCTCTGATGTCCTCCAGCTGCTTTCCTGGTGGGCAGAAAGCCTTGCTGTTTAATAAAGTAACGTAAACTGTTGCTAACTCTGCCATCAGCTTTTTTAGCAAGTACAAAGGTGCATTTCAGGGATATGTCCATGTTTCAGCTGCTACAAAAGACTGGGTGAGCTATAGCTTTAAAATATAATCCCCTTGAATGAAATAAAGTCATTTTGAGGCAGAAAATAACTTTCAGTGACAAGGAAGGAGCTGTAATCACTTTTTGGCAAGTAAAACTGCCATTCATGGATTATATTGGCCCTTTAAAGCTATTTCAACTAGTACGAAAGACTGAATGAGCTATAATCTTGATTATGATCATTATTATAAATGATTATAATCTTGAAATATGAACCACACTAATAGAATCAAGTCATTTTGGGGGAGCAGATAACTTCTAGTGACAAGCAAGGAGCTGTCACTTTTTGGCAAGTGGGAAACAGCTTGTTATGGGTTGTATTGGCTCTTTAAAGATATTTCAACTGGTACAAAACATCAGTTGAGCTATAGTCTTTCAAATATAACTCCCATGAAATGAAGTCATTTTGACCTTTCATTGACATACGGCTCTACCATGTGATATATCAGGGCGCCCCAGGATTATATTCCTTGGTCCAGAATTTGGAATTGGCCCAATCCATCAAATTGACTGATTCTGGTCAATCATCAAAAAGGAGCCGCAGCATATTGGTGCAAACACAGTCTGCAATGTTTCAGATATAAATATATAAATAAATAATATAAATGATATGATGATGTGTTGGTGTTGAGCTGAGCTCTCAGCACTGACTCTGCTGAGAGTGCCGTTCAGACTGCCTTTACTGTAATGTGCGGGCAGCCCGAGGAACAAATGCAAAGACTGCACCTTTTTTCCCCCCATTAAATCACACTCCTTATCAGATGATGGCAGTAACGCACCATTTTCTTGTTTGCCAAGGAAGACAACAAACAAGAGATTTCCGTTTCAATGTTGATGTCAAGTTTTAGGAAAGGATCTGAAAGAGTAGATGTAAAGGGAAAAACTTCCTACACATAGATACGCAGGCCTTATCAATAATCAACATATCATTTCCTGCTGTAGCTGGGCTGCTGTGATCTCATGCTAATTTTTGATAGCCTAGTATGTGTGCATAAAATTAAACACACAATGACGGCATTAAAAGGGAATTTCAACAGTGAAATTCTACCTTTTGATGTCTTCTCTTCTCTGATCTCTCTTGTTTACTGACTAATTCCCTGATAAACTATGCTGTTCTTCTATTCTTCACTTTGGGAATTCCTCCTGTGACGCTGATAATTGAATCCCAGTTCTCCCATTTCAACTGAGCTGAGTTACATAACTCTGCTTTACTGGTGGCTACACAGACACACAGCGTTTTTGCTGCTGCCAGACATCTTTCTATACTGAGTTTGCCTTTGGTAAATTCAGTCCAATAAGAGCCTTGTTAAGATATTAATGGAATTTTGTCCACAGAAACGTCAGAGAGCTTTTCATCTCTTAAAAAATACATTGACTTTTTTCATGTCTGTGACATTCTACAGATCTGAAAGGTTTATATCAGGGGTATTAAACTGCTGGCCTGGTGGCCATTCCCAGCCCTCCACCATCTCCATTTCCCGTGTCTGCAACATGATCTTAAAAATATTTTATAACCGGCCTTATAGATTATTATTTTTTCTAGTTGTTTTATTTCATTTTGAACTACCCGTTCATGTACAATTAGAATAAAAACACAATTTTATTTTTAAAAATGTATTTTGTTTGGCACAAAATAACAACAAAAGTCAAAGGTTCCCATGAATGCATGCACCAAAGATGATGACAGAAACATGTATAAAAACTGTGACGCAGACAGTGTGGAACAGGCCCAAACTGTTCAAATCAGCTGCATTCAGATGCTGCCTCGGTTGGCTTGCTCCTTCAAACCTGGCTAAAAAATTTTTTTGCATCTTTTTTTTGTAGTCTACAGTGGGGTTTGGATTAAAGGGCAGCAGACCTTGAGACGATCCACCCAGCCAGACTGACAGGACCAGCTCATCACAGCGGGTGCTGTCGCCCCAGGAGGGGAGGAAGCGAGCCGAAATAGGAACCATGCTGGCCCAGCTTGGACTTAAGGCTGCTCCTGGCTAATGTCCGATCTGGAAATGAGATTCAGGCTGGTCAAACAACTTGAAATCAGAGACTGTTGTATCCACATCTTTACAGAGACCTGCTTCATCAAGCGCTCGTCAGGCGGACTGTGTTCCGCGCAGACAGAACGCAGGACGAGAGGAGGCGGACTCTGTCCATCGATGAGGCTTGGTGCTCAAATGCAGTCAAAGTGGATGGACGCAGTTTCTTTTTCACTATCTCACTATCTTGTTGCTGCTGTTTACATTCAACCAGATGCAAATTCCCTGGGTGTATACTGTAAGTATGCATGTATGTATATAAACAATTTTTGTGTTTATCTTGCCATTATACTTTGGCCTTGACCAATGTTTTCAGAATTTGGGGTATTCTACCATGACCATGCCAGCTGTTTTAGGACTTTTTTTAATGGAACAACTGTATATATCTGTGAGCTGTTTGTAAAGATTTACGTCTTTGGTAGAAGCCAGTGTGTTCGGAGCAGAGAGCCAGAGACAGACTAACACATTGTTGGTTTGTTGGTCTTTTCATGGGAGAAAAATACTGAGGGATTTCTGAGGGTAGTGCATGGTAATGTTTGATAAATGGTAAATGGACCTGTACTTGTATAACAGGATTTTCTAGTGCAATGACCACTCAAAGTGCTTTTACAATACATGCCACATTCACGTTTCACACACATTCACCCATCGAACAGAAACTAACACATTCATACACATTCACAGCAATTTGGGGTTCAGCATCTTGCTCAAGAATACTTCGACATGTGGCAGGAGGAGCCGGGTATTGAACCAATAAACTTCCGATTAGGGGACGACCCGCTCTGCCTCTGCGCCACAGCCAATAAAAACCTGTTAAGTAACATATGACACTGGACCTTGAGGATTTTCTAGTGCAATGAAAGGACTGAATTGTACAAATTCTCCTCTGTGTAGCTATGGAAACCACCTTATTTAGACGTATTTACTGTATTTCTGTTTGAGTGTCTGACCTTGGATCTAATTACCAATATTTCAGATTCAAGGATGCACCACTACCCACTCTACTGCTGTCATAAACAGATGTTTTTGTAAAAACCCTATTAAGCGTGACAGAAATCTTATCCCTCACCCTGAGGGACACTGGGTCTCTCCTTTACACAGTAAACAATAAGCCAGGTTACTACAGAGAGCTGACAATAACCCAGTGGTTTAAATGAAATGGTAATAGTAATGTGTGCATAAACTAAACTTAATCCTAAAACTGTCATGACCATCAACATGAAAGATGGACGTCGCGTCTCCACTTCCTCCCACTGCACAAAAATGAAGCCATAATGTCCTGGATTCCGTCGCTGCCATCTAATGAATCTTCGCTCTGTGTCACTAAAAGTTGAAGATTGATTGACGGGTGAATGTCATGATATTATTAGTTGAAATCAGTTAGTTCATGCTTACGTAAGCATGCGTCACATTTTGTTTTACAGGAAGACAAAATTATTGGATTTCTATATAAAAATACAAATAAATTGAGTTTTTGTAAATTGTTTGGCATACATTGTTAAATAGGCTAGGGGTACAATATGGCTGAGGATGCAATCTTAAAGAGTTAAAAGAACATTTTTAATTCAACATCTTATTGTTTCAGATGATCAGATGGCAAAGTGGCCTGGCTTGGTCCATGACTCCCAAGTCCTTCGGGCCTGTACAATTACCCAGCGACTATCTGAAGGTAAGCCCCACACATGTTATTGATAAACACCCTGAACGTCATGATACTGTCAGAAGTGCACTCCGCTCTCTATGTAAGGTAGCTTGCAACTATTACATTTTCTGTTTTCAGGTGAATACTCTGGCGTGTTGCTGGAAGACAAGGGTTATGCCTGTCAGGTGAGAGGAAGGATAGTGAGAGACAGGTCAAAATAATCAGGACGGGGCAGATAATCAAAACTGGAGGGAAAACAGACAAAGACAGGAAGTGAATTTAAATATAGGAGGAGAATACAAAATAAAACTAAAAAGAACCAAAGGAAACGCCAAACCATAACAAAACATATGTTATATCATGCCACTAGAGTGATGGGGATGTCACTGTAGAGGCTGGGTTCTCACACACTTCAGAAGAAGGGTGTCTCTGGTCTTATCACTGTCCCCAGTGTGCTGCTATCTGTTTCCTGCTGTAGGGGCTTGACATGGACAGCCCAGTTTAACCCAGGACTGAAGGTAGCTAAAAGAAAGGAAGAGGATCCTCTGAATGAATTAATGAATGACTCTTATTAAAGACAACTAAAAGGAGCTCTAAGGCTAGATTGTTATTTAATTTTAATGACACGTGTTGATCAAATCTGACCTCAAGCTCCCCTTTGTACACTCTAAGAAATGATTCACAGGGTTAGTAAGTATAGCTCAAAATCGAGAGCTTTTTCTGCATAAAAAAATAAGTTTGTTATGTGTATACATTATAATGAGTTTATAACTTAATTTAATAAGTTGGTCTAAATGAAAATAAATAAAATAGTCTTAACTCAATAATACATGAATTTTCAACAGATATTTCTGCCTTAACTTAACATAGAGGTGTATTCAGTTAGCACAACTTGAAAATCCGTGTCCATGTTTGTTAAAAGCCGAGTACAAGGCTGACCTGCTCGGACGTGTTTGGCGTGAACAGACCATGCAGCATGCCTGTTGGAAGCATAAGGTTGGGAGACACGACTGAGCAGAGCACAGAGTTGGAGAAACGCGGTTTGCAAACTTTACAGCTTGGTGCGTACAATTTTGAGTCGTTTTATTCACAACAGCTAATAACTACATCAGCAGACAGTACGAGAAATCGTTTTACACAACACGAGATGCTTTTTCTCGGTCAGCAGTGGTAATGTGTAAGCTAGCAGTAATGGTAATAATTCGGTCTGACATTAGTGTTTGTTAAGTTTTGTTTAATGGTGGCAGGTTTTAATTGGCACTGGTTTTCAGTAGTTTAACTTTGTTTCTTTCAAATTTATTTAAAATTTGTAGTAGTGTTGAAGGTTTGATGGCTAGGCCGTTGTTGGTGACTGAGCCCACATTCAGTTTATTAGTCAACCATTGGAACAGCAAGTGCAGTCTAAAAACCCCGTCAACATAAATGTGACTGTTTTTAGTAGATAACTGTGGTGCTGTGTAATGTGTTCTACAATTAAACAAAAAATAGCGGGGGCGTGTTTACATAAAAGAACTGTGTTATGTGGAATTTTCTCACTACAAACCTTTAAAACATTTATATTGATTCTGACCTACCAGGATGATGACGGGGATATTACGGGCGAACTGATGAAGATCACAACACGATGTGGCATACCTGCAGCCCGTGCAAAGATCGTCCTGGAGGGAACAGAGGTCCTAACGGATGTGGATATTCCCAGAGCCTGTGCCTTGATAATGGGGCTGATATACGCACTCAACCTCAGCTACCCAAAAGAACTGAAAAATACTTTTGAAGTGTTTCAAAAGATATTCCTCGAGTTGGACGTTCTGAAAGCAAGTCCTAAGGTAATGTTGCCAAAATATAAACTGCTGTGCTAAAACAAAAAATGTGAGGAGTTAAAGAGACATTGAAGCTGTCCTCTAATTAAAGAGGAAATGTTGCACTGTTATTTGCAATGTGTTGTTTACATGCTTGACATGGACAGCCCAGTTAAACCCAGGACTGAAGTTAGCTAACAGAAAGGAAGAGGATCCTCTGAATGAATTAATGAATGACTCTTATTAAAGACAACAAAAAGGAGCTCTAAGTCTAGATTGTTATTTAATTGTAATGACACGTGTTGATCAACCCTGACCTCAAGGTCCCCTTTGTATAGCAGTCTTGGAGCTTTCGATTGTATCACATGCTCTTCGTCAGCAGACGGAGATCGCTCAGTTGTTGTGGAATTGAAGATGTTCAGATTTTCATTTTTTGAGCACTTTAAGGACTTCTCATCCATGTTGGCTTAAAGTTCTTATCATAAGTTTATTTGTGAAATTGAAAAATGCAGTTAGCAAAAAAATCCACCACAGTGTCCAAGGAGCTGCTGTTTCCAAGGTCAGGAATGAACTTTCAATTTTAACTTAATGACAGATATATACGCCTAGCAGCCCTGTTAGGGAACATTACAGTGGCAAAAGCTCTCTGTTCTCATCAGACATCAAGTGTACAACATTTTCATTTTCAAGGCGTAGAAGTAGAAAGTCTGATTTTTTGTCATGTTCTACTGCCGGATATGGTGAAAGTTTCAGAAGAACATTCTTTTTAATAAAAATGACCTACTGCAGCTTTAAAGAACAAGAAGTTTTACTTCAAATATGGTTTTAAAAAATGAACTACAAAACAAACTAATGGTTTTGATATCCCATTATGCTTTGAATGCATGATAAGTTTGGTTTTAATTATGTGTGTGTACTGTTTGTGCAAACATGTCTGTATATATATGTAAAAGTGAGCATACGCAGATACATGCATTTACAGTGGATATATATACATTCATATATACATGTCTGTGTGTATACATGACTAAAGCTTACTTATTGCCTGGACTGTGGAGCTTGTTCATAAATGTTATAAACTTTTGAGAAGAGTATACCTAGTAAACTACAGCTTCTGAATCCACATTATCTTTTTACAGAGTCTGTGTTTGCTTATTCTCTGTCATCTGAGTTTGATTATCCAACAGCATAGCTAGTGAACATTGTCTACTCTAAAATTTTTGTTGTTGGAGCTTAGATATCAAATGGCAAAGTGAATTTTATTGTATACCGACATGTACTGAATAAAATAGGTAGGACGTTGTCTGATGATTAGTGGAGTGTAGGTGTCCTTAACAGAGAATGACGTCACACTCCCTGTTCCTGTGTTGATCCCCGAGCATTGTTTACTTCTCCAGTCCAGCCGTACATGCATGTGTATCCCTCAGTGTGCAACTGTTGGCTTTGAAGAAACTGCTGTTTTTCTCATCTTTCTCTGTGAATTGAGGATTTATTTCAACCAAAGCAGAGCTGGTTATTGTTGGAACAGTGGAAAGACTAACAAAGATGGTTTTATTGAGATTTATTTTGTTTCTGACAACTTTGAATGAGGGATGTTCCGATGATATGCAAGTTTGACTTAGTCTATGGAGTCTGGTGGCGAGTGATAGGGGCTGTTTCTGGTTAAACTAAAGGGATCCTTTCCATAATGTTGTCACACAACAATCTGAATCCAAAGGCAAAAACAAAAACTTTTAGTGGACGCACTTTGACCAACGCAAGGATTACGACGTGTTATGTTACAGGAATGAGCCGAGAAAGACAGAAAGACGCTTTGTGTTGGTGGCTTGAAGATAGTTGATTGTTGATTCTCATTCTAAATGTTGGTATTCAACGACCTAGGAATGAGACTCAACAATCTTTCTCAGCTCTGATTGGTTTTTGTCATTGAGGCCCGGTGGATTCTTGGAAATACCATTAGGAGCACTAGGAGGAGCCAGAGGAAGCTGCTGCAGCTGTAATGCTATTGCTGGATAAAGTGATCAGGGGGTTGACACAAGAGAAGTTCTCACCATAACTTTTAGGATTCATCCTTTGCAAATTTCAGAACATTTCATGGAAATCATTTTTTAAACGGACCAAAAAATGATGTCAAAATGATGAGCAATCATTCTCTCTGCTTCTCTTTGTTCAAAAAGGAATGAAGAAACTGAACATCTGAGACAAGACATACTGTATACCCATAATTCCCTCATTCTCTCTATAGGATCCTGTCTCTCTCCATGGTAATCTCTTCATTACTCTGAATCTTTTTGTTTGTCTGTTCAGGTCCAGAAACCTTCTAGTGAATCTCACATGGATATGCTGTAGAGCACAGGCAGCTGTAATGACACAACATTCAGCTGACGTTGCTCTTTGGGAATATATTTATCTCTTCAGGTAGTGGAGAGAGGGCATCAATAACCTGCAATCAATTAGAGTGATGGGTGATAAAACAGAATACACTCCTTGTAAACAGCACGAGTGAGATGTAGCATCACTCAGCATTGGCTCACACTCATAGCCTGCTGTAAGCTTGCTGCAGAGCCAAAGATTATGTGAATAGAACTGGCAGGAGAAAAACAAACCTTGACCTTTGACTCCACAGGTTGTATGACATGTTGAAGTTGGTTCAAGTAGAGTTGTATTGGAGCTTAAACGTGTGTGCTCCTGCCCTCTTTCCAAAGGAAGACAGGTCCCTCCCAGCCATTGTTCTCCTCACACAGAGGTCATCAACATCATCATGGTGGTCCTGCGGCACAGGAAGAAACAATGACACCAGGGGAGAGGGGCTTCCTATGGAGGCTGGGGATTCATAGTGACTTAAGAGGTTAGCATAAGTCAGCCTGTAAACATTTACTTTAGAAAATGTGCATTAGGACTACCAGTAGGGGGTTTAGTGACAAAACAAATACCAACATATGTCAATTGAAGTTATTCATTTATTTATTTCTGTAAATTCTGTAGTTACACAAAAGGATACCACTGTTACCACTGCTGCTTTGTCTATTAGTACAGTACAGTGTTGATGAATTGTTGATTAATAGCCACCAAAGTACAGCACCAAATGTGTATTATTTCCTCCTGTTTGAGTAACGTTTGTTAATAATAACAGTGACCAGCTGACCTTTCTGTTTACAACAAGACTTCATATTTGTGTATGTTATATATTATATCAGTAGAAATGGCCTGAAATGACACATGAAATAACTTAAGGCATTGGCGCATTATTCATATATATATTGACACAGAAACTAATGGGCCTGGGGTTGAACAGTGTTACCAGCTGTACAATAATCGTCATATTTAATTAAAAAGCATAATAAAATCAGCATTGTCATGTTTTGTCAGTTCAAAAAAATCAGCATACATGATAGGATGGGCTGTCTGTCCTGTAGCCTCCATAATGAAAGTTGACCTGTAGTCCATTTCAGCCAATTGAACTCATGGATATATTGTGAAAAGGCTGTATAGGTCTGCGCAGTTCTGGGTGAGTACAGGCTGGATCTTAATGTACAATTAGTACATTTCTGCACCAGGCAACGGTGGAGCTGACAGCCACAGACAGGGTAGGGTAGTTACTAAGTATTGAAATACATTGTTGGTTTTAAGTCTAATCATGGGATTGGCAGATAGTAAGAACATTTTAGAACAACGTCAACCTGATCCTTTAAGCGATTTTGACTATCTATTATTACTACACCAAAATATGGGACCAAACCTTTTTTGTACCATCACATTTGAGCCATATCAGTGGCTGTCAATTCTATTTGTGCAGTTTGACTGATTTTACATCTTTTAGTGCAAAGTAACATCACAGACAAGAAGACAGGACAACTGGATGGGGTTGAAACATACAAAGACATTAGGACATTTAGGACAACAAGTAGAGAAATGTATGGGCTGGGATGAGTGGGGGAATTTGAGGAAAGATGGAAAGGAAATGCCCCCACACCCACAGACCCATAGGAAGGAGCTGATGTTGGTTTACAGAGGTTTATGTATTCCTTGTTTAACTAATGAACAGATCGATGAATTGCCTGCATTTTTGTTTGTGAAATTGCAAGGTAAATAATGCTCCCGCTGAATGCTGTTTCTTCCTCTATGGTCCAACACAAAGACAAGGAAGGGACAATGAAAGCTCAGCCTCACATGATAATAATCACGTGTGCTGGTCAGAGCGAGGTGGAAATGTGTGTCTGCAGCAGGCAGATTACTCACAGTGTGTGATCCTCTGTGTGGTGACGGTGGTATAAACGGTTGAAGCAGCTCCAACAAGAGACAGCTGTGTTGCAGTAAGATAGGCCTGCAGTCTATCAAAGTGTTCCTGGCACTCACAGACCAGATCACACGTCCCAGAGAATAAGAAATCTGGGAGGAATAATATTTTGGCTGGGTGAGGAAACTGTTTTGAAGAAAGGTGTTTCTGCTGGCAGCTGCAGAACCATCCAACCCTTTAACTTCAAAATAATCACTCTATAAATCTGACCCTAACATGGAAACTATATCAGCAGTTAACTGTATATTATGACAAAGTAAAAGTGAATTCAAACCACAAGCTTGAAGCTTTCCAAACTGACGAGGATAGGGTATGAATATACTGAAATATGGGTTTACCAAGGTATTGGACCTGCATTCTATGTTTAACATTTTTAATTTGAACAAATTTCTCCCGCGGATTGATAAAGTATTTCTGATTCTGATATGTAAAGGCCAGCAGCCGGAGCTCCATTGGCTGCAATATAAACCAATACCATTCAGTCTTATGGAGAAATGAGCCGACTTCTGACTTGATTTATGAGCTCAGTAAACTGTTTCCTGATTAGTTTATGGTCTCAATCTGTAGTTCCAGTCTTCTTCCATACAGCATGATGTTCATTTAGTAAATGATGTTCCCATTTAGAGTAAAATAGACCATAAAGCAGGGTATGCTTTAGGGCGTGGCTACCTTATGATTGACAGCTCATTCTTAGTGAGTCCGTCCAGCTCAACGCACCAAACTCAGATCAAACTGTCAAACTAGGCAGTGCTGATCAAATATGAAGCAAGATTGAAAGCCAATGAGAGCAGCTCAACTCGCAGTACATCACCTCAGCTGTCTCAGACAAACTGTCATGGCGACGACCATTACACAAAACTCGTGGCTTCAAAACAGCACTCCACAAACTGTCACGATTGGTTCACACTTGGATGCAAGCTGTTAACCAAAAAAAGGATTCTGAACACACTGATTTCACACCACTAATGGGTTTTGGCCCTCGAATTTTGGTCCCGTTTGTGTTCACACTTACATTTTGTAAAACAAACCAAACATTAAGTCATATGGACTGACAGGTCGAACAGGCAGTTTTGATCATGCATTCTCAGCACTACATGGACCCACACGGGGAAATCAAACTCCGGTGACTGACATGCAGGCTTTTTATCCTCTCTGGTGTCACAAATGGATTCGCAAAATTCACAAAAGCAGCCTTATGGATGTAGGTCTTGCTCAGACTGCTTCGTAAAACAACTGCTTCTGATGGATAAAATGTCTGATAGGAAGTTGCAAACAATCAGATGACCTTTTGTGTGCGCCCTCTTGACGAAGTTGTTTGCTGCTTTGCTCACTTCTGTTTCTATTCCCATGCACTGATTTGCTTAAACTGAACGGCCAACCAGAGTGATTCCTCTCACCGATGGCCTCTGTAAAGGCTGGTCTCAGTCTGCCTTTTCGGTCCACACCAGAGTTTGATTGACAGCTGTCCCATCATGCCAAAAGTCTCAGTCAGTGGAGATTAGAAGTGGAGAAACACTCCACAGTCTGTTTTGTATCCTTTTTAAGGATAAAATACACAAGTAAACAATGTGGGCAGGCATGATGCTCTGAAAACGCTCCGCTTCTGAGATTGGGATTTGAAGACGTGCAGATCACAGAGCCAAACTGAGTTGTGGATGCAATGTTACAATGCTGTACCCGATGGATCCCAGATGAATAGGCGCCAGGTTTTGACAACGAAGGCTTTGACAGTAAAGAAATGTACGCCACTTATGGATCCTTACATACTCAAGGACGAGGAAATTATAATTAATAACAATAGGTCCGACATTGTTATAGGAATGTTAGATCTGTGGAATACTCCTAGCACCCATCAGTGACTGCCTGGCAGAAAGGTTTACTCATTAGTACTTTTCTAGAAGCAGAGATTGTCTCACCTGCAACTTCAGCCTTTTAATAGACAACATGCCAAGTCAGAGCCAATCAGATCAAACAAACATTACAGTCCCAGGTGTGTTTTATTTGTCACATC